GCCGACCCGATATCTGACACGGTGCTGCTGGTGCACCACGACCCGTGCGCCGACCCGATATCTGACACGGTGCTGGTGCTCCACGACCCGTGCGCCGACCCGCACCGACTGGCTGCACGGCGGCGTCTCTCGTCAAACCACTCTCGAGATGAACACGCGGCCGCGGGGAGGCCTTCATCCAGCAGTGGATCGAGAAAGGGCGCGATAAACTACTACGATACCTTTGTGATTCCATCTAATTATGACATTCGTATGGTCTTGGGTTATTGAATGCATCACCAAATAGAGGCATTAATCGGAGATGTGTTTGTTTTTGGGTGGGGGTAGGGCTGGGGTTACGCGGCGGTGTTGTAATCAACGACGTCATGGTTTCATAACCCAACACAACCCCAATGATGACTGATGGGTTTTAGTTTAATAAATAAATAGTCCGTCCAGAAAATAAACGCGTGCAAGCCACCAGCTGGATCGCTGAGGTCCGCAAATGCGCATTTCTGGCCGTGTGTTTTTTACCCGAATAAGTGCAAAGAAAAAAAATGAAACTCTTGGCCCGACGTGTTTTGTTTCCGTTTTAACTTCAGTGTACCAGTCCAGTTGTGCCCCTTGGTGAAGGCGATGAACGCTGCTCAACCATGCTCGCTGTTTAGTCTCATTCGCACACTCGGTGTGGAGACGAGGGCACATTTTTGGAGAGCGCACGCACGATTGTTCCTTGTATGCCTCATTTAACGCCGTGCATCAATGTTTGCAGTGCTGCTTGTCGTAATGGTAGGCACGCTGGCACTGGCTTGCAATCCCATTCCATCTCCCCGCGCGGCATTCTAAACAATGGGGGGTGGCGATTGGTTTTCTGGAATGATTTAGGTCGGGGATGCGTTCCTGAAAGGTGCGATGACGAATATCGAGACGACGTAAATCAAAGCGATGTTTCCACACGAGTCAAACAAACACAACGGAGGGTATGGTGAAAGCGATGTGAACGCGCGCATCTTCATCCTACGTGTACCCACAACGTGACATTAAGCAATTTTAAATCTAGATTGAAAACTCGTTTCTTTAGAACTGCTTTTAATGTTCAGTTTGTTGTCCTTGTCCCGCGAAAGAAGTTCAACATACATACGTACATTTATTAAATTACTAGTGCACTGCAGTAAACTTAAACACAAATTATACAGGGTACAACAAGATAAAGTACACTATGAATAGCCAAAATACATAAATCATGTATTGTACTCTGCAATACAGTAATTTTTTTACGCGCGACGCAAAGTCGTTCGTGTGCAGGGCAGGTGGTGGCGGAGGCGAGAAAGGACGGACGGTGCCGTGAGCGACGTAAGTGTGGGGCTGAGGCGACGCTAATCAGGGGGCGGTGCCAGAGGCGTAGCTAGGGGGGGCAGGGGGGTACACGTGTCCCCGGGCGCCAAGGTAAAGGGGCGCCAAAATGAGGCTTACAACGTTACATTATAACTTATTGCGGCGGGCGCGGCAGCCTGAAACTACTGCACAAATCTACACCTCAACCTAAAAGTTTATATATCCCGCCACACACAGCCGACATGTCATGTAATTACATTTTGGTATGTGATTAAACGGGGGGGGCGCCAATTTTATAGTTCGTCCCCGGGCGCAAATGATCCTGGCTACGCCACTGGGGGGGGGGGGGGGGGGGGGGCTGCTAAAGTGACGACGTATTTGTGACACGACGTAAAAGGAGGACACGTAAGTCGGGGAATTGCTGTGCCTGAAACTCTTCCTGCTGACTTTTGTCCACCTCGGCGGAATTGATGGGTTCACCACAGTTAGTCAATCACCAAGTCGCGCGTGTGGTGGGGTAAACTGTGGGTATTCTCACCTCTTTAAAGAAGGTCTGGCCAGCGTGGACGAGCAGTGAAAAAATGCCCACTCGAGAGGCGCTCTGTCTAGTGGAAGGCCTCTTCTGCCAGCAGTGGCATGAGCAAGAAATTGCAGTAATGCACCTTTACCTGTCAATGTTTGGTCAACGGGGACTTGCAAATCGGCCTTTAAATGCAGCAGCTGTTTCCATCCTTGGCTCCGTGACGCGATGATTAGTCCATTTGAAATTTGTTGAGAAGGTTGGTGCCAACTCCCGCATTAGCGAGCATCTCCTTGTAATCAGAGTGTTGGCAAAGTCGTGCCTATAACTCCATTGCCGCCGGGGGCGAGTCGCCAAAGTGATGCGTTCCGCTCGTTTCATCACGATGTTGATGACACCCTCACAGTACGCCATTGTCCGCAATGCATGCAGGCCTTTCAATAGACACCGCCATCAAGCGTCATTGGCAGCCATTGTCTATCCTCTGCTGAAGGTTGAAGGCCGACACTAAAACTGCAGTGTTGTGATTCCACAATCCATACATTTTCACATGATCATAAGCTACTTCGTTTAGCTATCATTTGTGGCCAGGTCGTTTACGAGAAAGAAGCTTATCGCTCAGTGGGCTTTACCTGGTAAAAAAAAATATTAAAAGAAAGGTTTTTGAATATTTTCATATTGGTCGTGAAAGTCGGTGTGAAAAAATTGTTCAGGTAATTTTTTGGTGATTTTCTTACCTTTCCTATACTTTGCACTGCGATCTTGTTTTTGTATTGTTTGTTGTTGTAGCTTTCTGACCGGCCCCTACTGTACATCTACGAAAATCAGATTCAGAGGTTCACGGTTCGAATTCAGCAGCCGCACCGATTAACATTTAAGAATCAACATCACACGTTTAAAGTATTTGGCTGCTATACATTTCCACACTATAATCCACTTCATTGAGATATCATCTGTGGCCAGGTCGCTTCTGAAAAAGAGCTACATAGCTCAGTGGACCTTGCCTGATAAAATACAAACGATCTTTTTTTACAGTTTTAGTTTATAATACTTCGGTGAGTGATAACGGAAATAATACTACACGCCATCTGCTTCACAGTGTAAGATCAAATAATCGCAAGAGTAGGCCCGGGTCTGCCGAAGTCAAATTCTAAAATCACTAAAATGGGATAATGCACACATAGCAGCAATCATTACCTCCTACTGCCAGATTAATGTCCCAGGTTATTCTGGCAAATGAGACTATCCTGGTCTCCAATGTTTTCACCTAGTTAAACAAAGTAAACTTGAACTTCTGTCAGTCAACTTCCAAGCGTGCATCTCTCCGCGCGTGCTTGTATAATTTTCTAATTGTGTTTGACTTCCTTCTTTGCGAGCGTTTCTGAATCGTCCTGCACGGCTGGCAAATGCGCACTGGTTGAAAACGTGTTCTTCAGTTAAAATTCTATTTCGTGATGAAAGTAACTTTTTCAAAAGCAGTCCTTCCTATTCTTTGTTTCCTCTTAATTTAATCAGATCAGTCTGATACTCCCCGCCCCATAAAGTATACATCTTCATAAATCAACTATGGGAAGACTCACCCCAGTCATATTAATGTGGAATTTCCACCACCGGCGTCTGCAGGGCTGTAAATTGGAGATAAGCACCAATGCCTCAATGCATATTTGAGCAGCAGGGAAATCACTCTGCCTTGAATCATCAATTTATTATTTTCATAAGAATGTCCAAGTAGAGCTGCTGCCTATAACAACAACCTGTTGCCCGGGATTTTGAGTCATCCATGCTGAGCTCCCTATATCTAAATCTGCAATATGCACCCAGCCCAATTGCCTGTAACAAATTCATTCCAAAGGATTTGGTCATAGGGCAATTGGGCTAAGCGATGGGCAGCATTGGGCGGTGTGGTAAATTCCGTTCTTGATTTGAAGCTTTCGTGACTGCAGGAATCCATACTATTTGGTTCTTTCGGTAAAGTCACGCAGAAAAATAATAATAGATATCGACGTTTCGATCGCCATACAAGCGATCGTCCTCCTGAGGAGACGGACATTGAGCACATCAACGTGGTGCCATAGAAGCACACTACAACAACGGAATTCATACTCTTTGGTTCTTCCTTCTGAGGACGATTGCTTGTGTGGCGATCGAAACGTCGTGATCTATTATTATTTTTCTACGTGACTTTACCGAAAGAACCAAAGAGTATGAATTCTGTTGTTGTAGTGTGCTTATATGGCGCCACGTTTATATGCTCAATGCCCGTCTCCAACTCGCACTGACCAGCACGGTGAAATATGTTAAAATGACCCCCATGACCCACGTGGCATTGAGGGAAGCCCTGATCATTCAGCGGGATACACACTGGGAGAAGGGATGTGCGTGTACTCTTACACGGTATGTATTGCACATACGGTACTCACTGGCACCTTACGAGTCGTGAGCACAATACTTACGAGAGCTGTACAGATGCTAAAACACTCTGTGCAGACTGTTATGCGCGTACACAAAGCACGCGCTAAGAGCTCCACTTACGACGCACACGTCTATTGTTCATGGGGGGGGAGGGGGGCACCTTGGCTGCATACATCTCCTTAATGCCCCGTAGAGAAATATGCACAACAAAGAAAATCAGAAGTCTGTACGTGTGCAATGAGAACGGCCACGGTAGTGTCACGGTTACCGCGCTGCGCTACGAACCCGGCGACCCGGATTCCATTCTCGCTCACAGCCAACACGAGTGAAAATTGTCTGCATCGGTCCTGGACCTCCCCTAGGTCGACTGAGTACCCGGTGCAGTGTGTGAACATCGCCACTCGGGCGACAAAGGCGGCCAGGTGTGGTGCTGGCCACCCACCCCCTCGTGTGCCCGTGCCTTCATAGGGTGCTCGGAGTTTCACAACGTCTGTGTGCAATCCACACAAATCCTCACCCTCACAGTGCCGGATTAAAGGCCACTTGCATAGCCACCAACGCCCAGCTAAAAAAACAACAACGGCACTTTCCTGCGAAACTGCCAAAGACTGCATCTGTGAAAGGCAAGTCCTACTTTTGCGACAGCAATAGGAATGGCGCGAATACCAAAGTGAGCTCAATTCCCAACGTTATTCCGTGCCAGCTGCTGCTACGAACAGTTGTTTCACGCAGGCCCCCCGTCGTGTCGTTGCAGTGATCTACTTCTCCTGCAGGGCGGACGACTTCCGGCGCCTGATGATCCATGCGCTCTACGTGGGCCTCTCCCTCGACGACTACGCCTTCATCTACGTGGACCTCTATGGCGAGAGCCTGGTGGGGGCCCAGGGCATGCCACGACCCCCCTGGCACCGCGGCGACGCCAACGACCCCGTCGCCAAAAAGGCCTACCAGGTGCACGCCATCGCTTCTCTCTGCGGCGGAGACCCTTGGGGACCCTCTGGGCCCTCCGCAGCGCTCTCTTTGCCTCCTGCAATGCACCCTCTTGCCAGCGATGTGGAGGGTTTCGTGTGGATCACACGGAGATGTTGTGAAAAAGAATAACTTCCCCTGTGGGCATCGAATGAGGTGCTAGATGATAAATCACTTTTACAAAAAAATAAATTACATTTGCATGGCGTTTGCTTCGGTGCTGCAGCAACCCAAAGCGTCGTACATCACAATCGTAAACGTTCGAATCGGCACCCTCAGTGGCAGCTGTCTCTGTGTGGGGCAAGGTGACTTGGTAGCACCTGGCCTGCAAACTGGGATCAGTCTGCCAGTAGGGGACGATAATTGCAATGTGATCTAGCCGAGGGGACCCCAAGTAGCAGCTGCCCCTGCGTGACACAATGTGACTCAGCACGTGGCCTGCAAGCGGCTATCAGTCTGCCAGTAGGGGGTGACTATTGCTATTCTTTGGAATTCATTTTCCGGCAAATCGATTGTTTATGCACACAAAGAACCAAACACATTTTGATACCAACGTTATTCGAGTGATTCAACTCTTGGGAGAGTGGTGACGCAGCTATCCTGGCGCATTGTGCGGATGTCACTGTGTGGTGCTGGCCCTAGAGGGGCACGGCGTGCAATGTACTCGCATCGCGGACATCACGTATGTAGCGACATCGTGAATGTCGCTGTGTAATGTGGCTCTAGCGAGACACGGCGTGCGATGCATCGCCATCGCGGACACCCCGTAGGTGGGTGTAGTACCAGCCCCAGAGGGGGCTCGGTGAGCGCTGGGATAGCGCAGTGGCACCACGCGTGGCGTGCAGTGCTGATTCCTACAGGAGGGAGTGTGAGAGTGTCAGCCATGGGATGAGGTTACCCTAGGCCATGGCACTCTGGTTGACCCTGGAAGGCACGTGACCGGTAAGATCTACACAGGGGCCCCAGGTGGGGGCTAGGGGGTGGTCACGTGTCAGGGTGAGATCTTACGGGAAGGGTCCAGAAACGACAAGAGGTTTCTCGAAGGTGGTCGTGGCCAAGGGCAGGGCCAGCCACGTCCCGGAGCATATAAACTGGGTCCCCACAGGGACCGGGGCTCTGCGTTGCTGCCGTCATTTGAAGATCTACGATCTACGTTCTACATCCAAGAAGAAGTCACTAACACGTGGACGAGGACCCAAGTCAGGGTCCTGTCCGTTGTAGCTACTCCCAGTAACTAGCATAGTTAGCCTGGTGGCCCACCACCATAGGTTATCTGAAAAAGGGGCAGTAACCCCTTTGTGTTAATGTGTTGGTGTCAATAAATGTGTTGCCTCCAAAGAGTACGTCTGCGATTCAGTTGAATCCACTATGGTGGTATCTGAACCCGGTCCTGGGGCCCCCACCTGAGTTGACCGCTGTACGATCGAGGAAGATGCATAGAGCTTCTGTATGCCCATTTAAAACGGGTCGTCGGAAAACAAAACAAATTCTCATTAGGCCACAAGGTGCTAAGTGCGGTGTTCAAAGACTTATTATTCACTCCATCTCTCTGGCCTCTCTGTTTATTTGCCATGAATAAGGGCCATAGCCCAAAATGTCACCAGATTATATTTTTTCTTTTCAGGCCACAGGGTTATAATTGACGAATGTCATATTCTTTGGGTCTTTCGGTAAAGTCACGTAGATAGGTTCAACAAAAATAAATAAATAAATAAATAAATACGACGTTTCGATCACAACACAAGCAGTCACGAAAGCCTTAAGTCAAGATTGATTAATGTGTTGAGCATTGTTGTTAAGTGTGCTTGTGCAGCATTGCCAACACAGCAGCAGCAATAGGACCGTCGCCAAATCATAAGTCCTACGAGGAAGAGGGTGTAACTGCTCGATCCAGTTGCTGAAGAAGAATTTACAACCACGTGGAGTGAAACGGTGGACATCAATAACACGCGCTACAACCCTAAAATGCATCGGGAAGCTCTGCAGCACAACCGCGAACATCTCCGCGGTTGTGTATTAATAACACGGTAATAATAATACCGTAATAGAGTATGTATAGCTTAGTCTGGACTCAGCGAGGAATTTTGCAGCTGCTGGGGATTAAAATTGCAGGGTGGTCGTGCTTTTTGTTCGGAGAGTCCATTATCAGCAGGGAATCAGAAGGGATGAACCGCTTTTTGGATTACGAGCGTGAATTTCCCATCTCCTTTCAACCGGGGGGCGCATTGAAGGTTTGAGAAATCAGCTCTGCAATGGCCTTCTCTCTCCAAGGGCACCGCGGTGGCGACATGTTAACTACATCGCCTGGTATACAGGAGGTCGTGGGATTGATCCCGACCCTGACACCTGTATATTTGGAGTTTGCATGTTCTCCCCGTGGTAGCATGGATTTTTTCTCCAGGTCCTGCGGGTTTCCCTCCACATTAAGAATCAAAATGCATATAAAGTATTTGGCTGCTATAATTTTCCTCATGATGATAGGCCATTTCGTTGAGCTATTATTTGTGGCTTTTCGCTTCTGAAAAAGCTATATAGCTCAATGGACCGTAACTGGAAAAATATAAATTGTTTAGTTTCAGTTTAAATTGTTGGCGGAAGGGCCTCAACGAGAGGGAGCACTATAGAGGCCCACCCGAAGGGTATTTTTAAAAATTGTTTTTGGCCTATTCCTCGTTGGTCAGACGTCTTGGAAGAGGAGTAAATACTCACGCTTTACCCCACCACACGTCCTACCGATGAACTGTGGAGAACCCGTTTTGACTGCTGCTGGGTGGATACAGTTCAATGGGGGGGCACAGTGGCCACTCCAAATATTTAGGCAGTTTTTGTGTTGTGACTCCATAGAATAAGTCCAATGTAACAAGAACAAAACAGTATCCGCGAATCTGTGAATTAAGCTCATGATGTAATCATACAATTTAAAAACATTTCAACTGGGCCTGAGAGAGGGCTCGGCCATGAGTGCTCACTTTGCACTTTGATCGTAGAAAAAATAGTAATAATCGGGTGGAATATAAATCTATAAATTTGCAGCAAGGCCGCCAGAGAGGTTAGACGCTGTTGCAAGTCTGGCCGAGCTTAGGATAGTGCAACCGTCATCGTGGCCAGAGATGAGGGCTCCCGAATTCCCCGTGCGAGAATCACACAGTCGGCAGGTCACGTGTGGTCGTGGTGGGGTCAAGTTGTGGTCTCCCACCTCCGTCAGTTGTCGCCGCGGTGGCGAAACGTTCACTCCCTCGTCTGGTATGCAGGAAGTTGTGGGCTCGATCCCGACCCTAACACCTCCCAGTGGTCGCGTGGATTGTTCTCTGTCTCCTCCGGTTTTTCCCTCCGCATTTAGAATCAACATACATTTTGAGCATTTGGCTGCATGTGATAAGCAACTTTGTTGAGCTATCATTTGTGGCCATGTCGCTTCTGACAAAGAGCTATATTGCTCAGTGGACCTTGCCTGATAGAATACATTTTTTTTTTATAGTTGAGCTTTTCTTCAAGGACGTACTGGCTGGCGATGCAGAGTAAACCATTAACACTCAATAGATGGAACTCCCACGAGTGGAGACCCCTTCTGCTGGCATTGGCCTGAGCGAGAAATTGCAGGGCTGCGCCATGAAGTCCACATCACCTTTGATCTTGCGCTCGAGAAAATCGATATATTGATTGACGAATCGTAGACATTGTTACCCCCCTCCCTCTGTTGTGCATCTGCAGTCCGTTCTAATCATCACCTACAAGCAACCAGAGGGCGCTGAGTACAGGACATTCATCGAGGAGCTGAAGAGGCGAGCACCGGAGCAGTATAACTTCACAGCTAGCGACTCGCTGGTAAGCGTGACTCTCTGGCCAGTGATGGCAGCTGTCTTTTCACGGGTTCTCTCGCCATTTTGACAAGGACGACAAACTAAACACAAAAAGCAGTTTTAAAGAAATTAGTTTTCAAGGAGAGACGGCGCATGCCTTTTCTCGCTCTGAGTTTAGAGGACTCGACAGCCTATTTTACTCACGTGCCTCGGTTAATACAAGCTCCCGGGGCGTAAACACTGCGACTCGACTTGATTGCTTAATCCAACGCGAAGACTAATATCGCCGGCCATTATAAACTCACGAAACTCACTGGCCGTTTCATAAATGGTAAAGTAACATTGTACATATTCATCCTAGGAAACCATATCTTGGCATGTTTATTTCAGGTATCTTTACGTGCATGTATTTTTGTGTAAAATTATGCAAAAAAAATAAACCCGTCTGTTTTTAAATCGACTATGCCTCTATTTCGGGTCTCGCCCATTTCTGCCAAAGCGCACACTCCTTTGATTTCTATATTTACCGTTTCAGAAAAACATCATTCCTGCTGGCTTCTACGATGGGATTCTGCTCTACGCGTTAGCTCTTAATGACACCCTCACCGCAGGAAGGCTGGTGAAAGACGGAGTGGTGCTCAAGCGATACATGTGGAACCGAACATTTCAAGGTGCGGTGTGTGCGGCATGCGCGGTGTGCGCGGCGCATGACCAGAGTGCCGAGCGATTCGCCATCACCATTTTCGTGCCAATGGTATGGCAAAAAATAGGTGAGCGACGATGCTCGGGTTGGGAGCATTAAAGGGATGGCAGTTTTGTGTTCTACGTTCAAAGCTAAAGCTCTGCCATGTATGAATGTCTTTGGTTGCATTCAGTTTGTTGCCCTTCCCCCGGCACCTCCAATCAGCATGGTTGGCTATGGACGGTTTTAAAGGAGTTCAACGTATATGTTCAACGTATGTATGTATTTTAAACTTCTTTTGCACCGTACATAGCTAAGTGAGCTAATTAGAGGTGCGGGGGGAACGACAAAAAACTAAACTCAAAAATCTGTTATAAATAAATTAGTTTTCAACTTATATTTAAAAGTGCATAGCACCAGTGGCTTCCTAATATTGGATTGAAGAGCGTTTTAGACGGCCGCAGAAGCGCATCGGAAAGCACATAATGCAGTGACCATCTTTGTTCGATGGTTAGCCAAAAAAACGCTGCGAGGATGACGGGAGTTTGCATGTGGGTTTATGCTCCTTGACGACATCGGGAAGGTATTGAGGTTCATTTGTGGCAAGCAGTCTGCGTGTAATGAGTGCGACCTTATCAGGCATCCATTGGGAATAGAAGGTGCCGGTGCATGAAATATGCCGGTCATCTGAAAGTTTCCGTCTATGATAGATGCCGGTTAATAGAGCATTCTGGACGGTAAAGTGCTCGATAACAGAGCTCTTGCTGTATAAAGCTAAAGGTGCAGGCCTAGATGGAGCTCCAGAGAGCCCCTGTCGAAGATGTTTTGGCCAACTCTTCCACGCTGGTCAGACATATCGGAAGAGGTGAGAGCACCCACGCTTTACCGCACCCCGCGCAACCTACCGAATGAGTAACTGCGGTTTTATACCCATCTACACTGCGGGGTGGATTGAGGCGGTGGGGGAAGAGGGGAGTTTAAGGAAATCACTCCTATTGGGTCAACTGCCGTGCGGCGAGGAAATGGAATCAAACTGGTAACCTCTGGATCGCGAGGCCGTCGTGCTGCTGACCATTGCACCGCCTCAATCCAGCCAGCAGTGTACATTTTCACAGCTGTAATTTGGGTTTACGGTGACAAATGGGATTTGAGCTATGTTGGTGATTTTGGCCAACGGCGGTGTTGATTTACAATTCATGATGCAAAATCTCCACTGACGAATACTTTTATTTGGGGGGCTTCCTGTGCACACGCCGAGTTCCGCTCGGCTCCTTTGCGTACTTAACGGCATTTTAACCTTTTGTCTGGCGGCCTCATTTCACAAGTGCAAGCTGCTTTAGTTCTGAAGTGAAATTAAACATGCTAAAGCACGGCTGCAATTGAACGGTTACAATGATGCACAAATCAACAGGCCACTGAATGCCAAAACCATAAAATTTCATGAGAGCTGAAACTCACCAAATAATTTAAACTATTAAAATACTCTTCTTGGTTCTTTCGGTAAAGTCACGTAGAAGGGAAGTAATAAAATAATAAAAATAAAATAAAACATAATAAAACAATTCTCACGACGTTTCGGCCACAACGCAAGCAGCCGTCCTCAGGTGAAAACCAGGTCCGTCGAGGCGACAGAGTCTGAATGAAACAGACTCTGTCGCCTCGACGGACCTGGTTTTCACCTGAGGACGGCTGCTTGCGTTGTGGCCGAAACGTCGTGAGAATTGTTTTATTATGTTTTATTTTTATTATTTTATTACTTCCCTTCTACGTGACTTTACCGAAAGAACCAAGAAGATGAATCCCTGCAGTCACGAAAGCTTTAAATCGAAATATTAAAATACTGTACATTGTGGGAGTAACTGATAAACTAACCAGACTTTTGGAAAAACAAAACATCCGAGTCAGATTTGGTACGGTGCATAAAATACAGAAACTAATATCTGGTACTAAATATGTATTGCCGAAACTATCAACAGAAGGTGTGTACCGGATTTATTGCACTTGTGGGAAATGCTATTTTGGGCAGACAGAACGAATGACGGGCATGAGACTAAAAGAACACCAAAGGAATATTAAATACTCCCAAATACAACTGTCAGCAGTGGCAGAACACACGTGCCAACAAGAACGCTCGATTGAATTTGATGTTGAAGTTCTGTGCAAAACTAGTTACTACTGGCCAAGACTAATTAGAGAATCTATTGAAATTGAGAGAAATCTACAGGCTTAGTGCTGCTTGGAAGCGAATAATAAAATAACACATTGTTAAATGCCTATACAGTACACCATACGCCAATGGGGAGTACGCAGACACGACGACGGGAGGTACAAGAGCCGAGTGCATGCTTCACCTTCATGCACAATGACGTTGATTACCATGAATAAGCCAACCGGCAATAGACACACATTGTAATTTATATGCATTCCCTTCACACGTGAAGAGCTCACAAGTGATGTCATCCCTCTATTTAAGGAACGAAACAGGATTTCTCCACAAATTTGACTGTACGCTTGATGCTAGTTGTAATTAGTGATGAAACGTCGTACTCGGATTGTAAATGTTGTGGATTTGCTCTCCAACACACCGGTGTGCTGTACTAGTAATGAATTGGCACATTCTGTTTACGTGAAAAACCTTACTAAATTGGCTGAATTGGCTGTGTCGGGTGGTGGCAGGTTTAACGACACATTTATATTTATGCGATCCAACCGAAAAAAACCTATATTATGGATGATATTGGCTGCAAAAGCCTACGTGTTAAACTGCTTTAGCTCGACTATGGCAATTGCAGGGTCGCACCTTTGCCCGTATCTTTTAGTCAGTACGATCAGCTGAACGGCGTGTGCCCTGTGTGCGTTGCGCCTGCAGTGGTACTAAGCGCAGCGAGTGGTGTACTTTGTACGTGGTGTACCCGTGCTCAGGTGTCATAGGAAGAGTCACAATCGATGCCAATGGAGACAGGGAAGTTGATTTCTCCATCTGGGACATGACGGACCCAGAGGCGGGCCAGTTCAAGGTAAGAGAGGCCACTTTAAAATCAAATATTCTATACAGATCTAAGGACAGACTCACGCACCCCCCCCCCCCCCCCCCCCCACTTGCCATAGAAACGTGACATTCTCAACACTGGCTCAAGGGTGTCGAAGGAAGATGAGCAACGATGCCTGAAATCTCGCTCGAGTCGGAGACCCCTTTTGCTTTAAGATTTTTTTTTCAAACGGTTCAATTAACTTGGGGTTGTCTTGCTGCTTCACTTGATGACATTGTGTGGCCTTATAAGGAAACAATATATAATAGGTGACGTTTAGGGAAATTGCCCTTCTTTATAGCACATGAATCAAGTGCTGTGTAGAAGGGTCACGCTGAAGGGCCATTAATCATATGCTATGATGAAGGACCACAGCCCGAAACGTCGCATATTATATATTCTTCCTTTTAAGGTCGCACAATGTTGTGATTGACGAATGTGATGAATTTCCTTTTGTTAATTATGCTTGTCCACCACTGCCAATGCAGCAGCATAACCAAATATGTTTTTCATTTGGGTTCAGTCAGTGAGAGACTTGACCCATATACACATTTGGCACACAGAAAACTAGAGCATGTGTGTCGCTGGTATTTTATAAAACAGACACCAGTGAGCTCATTACACGTCGTTTCATATAGTTTTGTTTACAACACTTCATTTTCATGGGGCGACGATGCGGTGGTCAGAGCGTTGCACTACAAACCTAGAAACCCGAGTTTGATTCTTGGCCACAACTTTTGGCCTCCACGCTTTCACCTACCCGCACTAGACCAGCACGGTAAAATATGCTCTAACAACCCCAATGATTGACACGGTGTGGGGAGGCCTTCATCTAGCAAGGGATTGATAAAACTCAGTACAAGTATGACAATGTACAAAATATCCTATATCTAAATACTTTCATCGAAACATGTATGTTCAATTATCACAATGAAATGCTTAAATACTGTAAGACGGTCACTGCATCGGCACTTTCAGATGCCCTTCTGCAGCCATCTGGAACGCTATTCCTTCTGATATTAGAAAGCCGCTGGAGCTATGCACTTTAAAATGTAAATGTATTTATTTTTCAAACTGAGTGTTGCGTTTAGTTTGTTGTCCTTCCCCTGCACCTCTGTTTAGCACAGTTGGCTATGTACGGCGCAAAATAAGTTCAACATACATACAAATGGACCGTGACCAAATCGCCTTGAATGCGCCCGATCTCATCAGATCTCTCTCAGTGGCGAGATGTTATCTACCTCACCTGGTATAAAGGAGGCCGTGGGTTCGATCCTGACCCTGGCGCCTGTATATTTGGAGTTTGAATGTTCTCCCGTGGTCGTGTGGATTTTTCTCAGGATCCTCCGGTTTTTCCCTACACATTTAGAATCAACATTTGTTTAGAGTATTTGGCTGCTATACAGTTCCAAATGATAAGCCACTTCGTTGAGCTATCATTTGTGGCCAGGTCATTTCTGAAAGAGAGCTATATAGCTCGGTGAGCCTTACCTGGTAAAATAAAAGAAAGTTAATCGTTTACAACGGCGACGTGGCCCAGCGGTGGGATGTTAGCCACTTGTTTATGTTGCAGAGGTTTGCGGTTCGACTCCAGTGGAAGCCCCGGTTATCGCTGCGGCAGTGTTTGCATTGACCTTAAAAATAATAACCACGCACCATCTGCTTCACTCACCATGGTGGACGGCGAATGTCCTGCGACGTCATTCGTAAAAGCAGGCCATTGTGTGCTGGCACCGCGGTCCAAATGTGCCGAAAGATAACGCAATTGGGATTACACATAGCAATCATCGCACCCCCAGATCCTGCAGTTTGTCCACCTGGCTTCACCCCTGCCACGGCGGCAGTGGTCCTTGCTGGACACAGGGCAAGGTCTAATTGCAGCCAGCCTCCACCATTGTAGTCTTCATGACAATCCGCACTGCAGCTGTGGCTCTGTACAAACAGTGCCGCGTGTTATTAATAATTGTCCACTGAATTCAGGGGACCTCTATGGGAACTACATACAGCCACGCACATGCTGACATAATGAATTGCCCCTTCCAACTGAGAAAATTTGCCAGTGCGCCTCCTGAAAATGTGTCTTGAGACTCAGCTCGGCTTTCCTTGTTAAACAAATATGAAATGCTCATTTTGTTACATTCATTGTGCATTCATGGCAAATGTACGGGCACTTGTTAAACAAAACATTTGTAAAATGTACAAATGAAAATTCTTCACGTTAACAAAAACAACTACCGATATTTCGTTAATAAATATTGGCCGAGTAGAGGTTTCATTTTCAGGGTGATGCTACGTGTTTATTTAGGCCAGAGTCGGATCAAAGAAAGAATGAGTGTTATGAGAGTGGGGGGTGGGGGTTGGGGGCAGGCGTGGGGATAAAGAGTATGTCAAGTAAAGTACATGAGAAAAAACAGATTTTCAGTCCTTGTCAGTTCAACATAGAAATTAAACATACATACGTACATATAATCATGTTTCGAACTGCTTTTGTCTTTAGTATGTTGTTCTCCCCCGCACCTCTAATTAGCACGGTTTGCTAAGTATGGTGCGAAAGAAGTTCAACATAGATGCATACATTTGCCAGGCTCGTATCCTCGCCATACGTTTGGGGCCACGCCAATTGGCAATGCATGGCATTATATCCCAGTTGTCTCTGTGTTTACTTTAAAACATTTTGTCTACGTGCAATGCTCAGAAAAATTGGTCATCAAAGAATGTAAATGCCCTGGTGTCTCCCTGGGTGCCTCTTCTCTGCACGGCAGAGCCTGGCTGGCTTCACATGCACCGAGCCAGGCTGCCGCTGTAAATCATCGGACGATAAACTCCCCTTCACTCTCTGTCTCTCACGCAAAAGCCGCCATCCGCACGGCCTTCCGTGGGAGTCGTGTCATTTTGGTAGCATCGATTTAATGCAAGCAAGCTCTGGCCCAGTTTCGACCTTCAGTGTCTCATCAGCAGAATGAGGCTCGCTCTAATCAATGGTGGCGAACTACCTGTCTTATAGTCAAGGACCCCTCCTCCCCTTATGATGTGGGGTCTCGGTTCAATGCAAAAAATATTTTACAATACACAACTCAATAATAATTTGTGTCATTGTGAAGAATATAAATAACATTAAATACTTAAATTTGTAAATCTAATTCTCAACAGGCCTCCATAGTGTAAAGTGCAGTCTCCAGCTCACATTGTCCAGTCTCTTTCTGCTCCCTGTACGCATGCACTATGAAGGGAAATTGCCTAAATGTCGCCTGTTATAGTTTTTTTTTTTCGTTTTAAGGCCGCGCAGTGCTATCGACGAACACGTTGAGTTTGTTAATTGTGCTCGCACACGGCTGCCAACGCAGAACCAGGAACGGTATCACCAAATAAATAAATCGATTAAGACTTTTCAACAATTAAACATACATAACAGTGAGAGCTTGTAGTGCACAAATGTAAACTCGCGTGTATGATTCACGGATAATGTACTGCGTCCGTTTAAAACTTTTAATTTCGCCTGATCAGCTCGTAAGACGACAGGCGTCACCTCATTTTGAACACTGCTCACACACCGAGCTCTGCCACCATTCTATGTCCAAAGACATACCGCCCGCATCGCCTTAACAGACTGTTGGGCAAAGTGCTGTTAGCAAGTAGAACCTGTGAAAGCCGACACAGCACACGAATGAGTGGGTGGTCAGCACCATAGATAGATAGATAGATCGTTTATTGTCATTGTCACCAGTACAACGAAATTTAAAATGCTCACCAGTCAGGGCATCATTCATAAATTTAAATTAAATAAAACAAGAAAATAAAAATTAAATTAAATGAAAGATAATCAATTTATACTATATATAAAAACAGCCCAAGTATACCCACATACCCACATAAGGTTACATTTTGTCATTGCACATCTCTATTTCACAATCAATTGTAAACACTATTACTTAATAATTAATTAGCATTATTGAGTGTGGTGATCGCTGTAGGATAAAAGCTCTGTTTGAATCTGTTTGTCCTTGTTTTGACTGATCTGAATCGTCTGCCTGATGGCAACAGCTCAAACAGTGAGTGTCCAGGGTGAGAAGAGTCCTTTATAATGTTCTGTGCTTTTTTGATGCAACGTGAACTGTGTAGTTCTTCCAGTGTGGGGAGATGGCAGCCGGCGATCTTTTGGGCTGTGTTGATGACCCTCTGGAGCGCTTTCCTCTGAGCCACTGTACAGCTGGTGTACCATACACAGATGCAGTATGTAAGAATGCTCTCGATGGAGGCTCGGTAGAAGGACACCAGCAGTTTCTGTGTGATGTTATTATTCCTGAGAATTCTCAGGAAGTAAAGTCTCTGCTGGGCCTTTTTCAGAAGCTCAGTGCTGTTGGCGCTCCAGGTCAGGCCCTCCCCAATGTGGACTCCCAGGAAGCAGAAGTCTGCCACCCTCTCCACACAGTCCCCGCTGATGATTAGTGGTGGTGGAGTGTCCGTTTTCTTTCTCCTGTAGTCTATTATGAGCTCCTTGGTCTTTGCGGTGTTAAGGAGCAGGTTGTTGCCCCTGCAGTATGCTGTCAGCCGCTCCACCTCGTCCCTGTAGGCAGACTCATCCCCCCCAGAGATGAGCCCCACCACTGTGGTGTCATCAGCAAACTTCACAATGGTGTTGCTATGGTGGACGGCGGCACAGTCATGTGTGTAGAGGGAGTAGAGCAGGGGGCTCAGTACACAGCCCTGGGGGGAGCCGGTACTGAGGCTCAGGGCTGTGGATGTATGACGGCCCACTCTGACCCTCTGTCTGCGGCCCGAGAGGAAACTATATATCCACATGCAGGTGGAATGTGGAATCCCCAGGTCGCCCAGTTTTTCCACCAGTTTGTGTGGGAGGATGGTGTTGAACGCAGAACTGTAATCCACGAAGAGCATCCGCACATAGCTCCCCTGCTGCTCCAGGTGTGACAGTGCAGCATGTAGTGCTGTGGCCACGGCGTCCTCCGTGGATCGGTTCGCTCTGTAGG